AACCGGATCGGGTCCGGGAAACGGGTTCTGAAAAATGGACCGGGCGGGAACCGGGTCCGGGAAACCGGGAAAACCCGTTCCCGGTTTCATCCCGGTTGTTTCAAAAAAACTGGGAAAAAGGACCGGGAAACGGGTCCCGTCCCCAGCTCTAATTTTGACAAACCCAATCTTTTCATTCCAACAGAAAAACATTTTTCAGTTCTACATTTTTTACATTTTGCCAAATTTTTTTGTGACTTTTCGTCTTTATTCTCTTTCGAACATTTACATTCATCATATTTCCATGAATGTTCATTTAAAAGATAACGCCTTTTTGAGAAATAATTTTTTTTAATTTAACCTAAAAACTACCTGAAAAAAGACCCACAAGCCCTACAAGTAATAACTCCATAATGAAAACAAACACTTATGTTTGACTCACAAACTTTACATTTTCTAATGGTGTTTCTTTGCATTTTCTAATTAAAATACAGGATAACCCAAAAGTAACTGGACACTTTATTATTTTTATTCGAATTAAACTTAAATGACAACGAAATAAATAAATAATATGTAAATATAAAGAATTTTTAAATGCTTTTTTCCCTTTGCTTGGTTACGAAGGCGCGTGAAAAAATTTAGTGCAAATTTTTTGTCAATAGTTTGTTGACTGTTGTCTTGTTGACTATTTCTTTTTCACTTTTTTAAAGTCAACACAGTCGTACCTACTTCCCTAAACATTTCATGGGAAATTTTCCCCATAAATTTATTGGGGTCGCACTTAAATTAATTTTTGTTAGTAACCTGTAGAGAAAAAAGTCAACACTCGTACCTACCTAGGGCGAAATCAAAAAATAAAAAGCGAAATACGAAACGCGAAACTTTTCGCGCTGAAAAATGTGAAATATGCGAAAGACGCGAAATGCGAAATTAGCCCAGCCCTGGTACCTACTCCCCTAAACATATTTTAGAAAAATTTTCCCTATGAATTATTTCATACCCGAATTTTTAATTGTTCTTGGAAAGTGCTTTTATGGAAATTTGTGTGTTAAAAATCTATTGTAAGTTAGTTAATAATCGAATCGTGCTTGCAAGCTATGAAAGAGAATTGGGGGGGGGGGGGGGGGCTACAAAAAGAGTATAAAAGTAAAAATGGTTATAATGAAATGAAATTTCTATAAAATGCATGTATAAAATGTATGTAAATACCAAGAAAAAATGCTTAATTAGACATACATACTAATGCAAATGGCCCAACATTCCCAAAAATTCGGCTCTATCTGAAAGGAGGTGCGGCATCATATTTTTTCATCCTTCCTTACACAACCTTTCATTTTTCCTTAATATGAAAAAATGGTCAGTCTTTTTTCCTTCCTTATTTTACTAACTTACGGCTAACTTACGGAACAGACAAGACACGGATCATACCAAAACTCGAACAGACAAAACATCGTCTTACCAAATCAAGGAACGACCAAATAACAGAGCGACCATAACACGGAATGACCAAAAACTGACCGAAGATCTGGTCTGTAATCTGGTAAGACGGAGACTTGTCCGACCTTTTTGTCGTTCCATCTCCTGTCTGTTCCGTCCTGACAATGGCAATGAGAAAAAATTAGTCCTTTCCTTATTAATGTCTCTCATTTGAATATGCCACAGGGAAAATTAAGAGCGTGGAAAAGACTGACCATTTTTTCATATTAAGGAAAAATGAAAGGTTGTTTAAGGAAGGAGGAAAAAATACGATCCCGCACCTCCTTTCAGATAGTGCCAAAAATTCTACTCTTAGGGGCGCTTGTTTTAAAGCGGCACCGGTCGGTTTAGGCCAGCGGTTTTTCGGTTTTTTGCCTAAAAAAGGGAGCGTGTGGTTCGGTTAATTAACCGAGAGCAACCCTAATTATTACCCAATGAAACGATATATATTAAGGTTTGGAGTCACACTTAAATTAATTATTGTTGGTAATTGTAGAGGAAAGAAATATTTCTAATAAAATGCTATAAAATGGTTTATATTTCATTAAATATAAAATATTTTTTGGCAAAATTGTCAATATACTATGCAAAATATAAATTATATGGATGATTCTGATGTATACGAACGTATTTAATTTTAGTCTTGGTTCGTATAATTATCAGCTGAATAAATAAATAAATTTTTTTTATTAACAAAAGTTAGCAGCGAATTGAATGATTGGATTTACATAATCAATTTAGTTATGTAAGTTCGAAACTTCTCTCCTTTTATTTATTCAATATAAAAATGACAATGAAAGGGATGGACACTTACATCATTGTCTTAATAAAATATATGATATTTGGTCAATGGTAATAAATTAACTGAATATTCAACAAAAATAATCATAATGAAGGGATATTGATATACACAGATATACGACTAAGTTAATTGTTAAGTTAATACGACTAAGTTAACCTTTCTTTCTATGAATGAATATTTTATTTTATAAACAAAATTTTATTTAAAAAACTTAAATTAATTCAAAACAGCTAATTAAACACACAAAAATTTAAATGGAGAAGAAAATTAATTTTTCTTAACATTAATCTAAAAATGGTTAATTGCCATTTTCAGGCATTTTGGCCAGCGTTTGCAGGATCTCACACTAAAAAATATTTTAAATTAAAAAAGAAGGAATTGCAAAGAAGGTCCGGCCTACTGATTTGGCATTATCAGGATTTGACAGTATTGCCAAAATATATGTAAAAATAATCCGTCGATATCCTACTTATCCCTAGATACCCGTGATATCCAGTCCACCTATATCCCCAATAATTGGTGTAAGGCAAATGGATTAAGTGGTATATCAGTTGAGTTGGAGGAATAACTATGGAAGAATCCAATGGATAAATCCCCACTAAACAATATTTAAAAACATAAAAAACAAATTTAAAAAAATCCAAAAAATATATTAAACTTAAATTAAAAATCCAAGGGAATACTAATACTACCAAAATATATACCCCAGAAATGAAAGCTTGATTTTTAAAAACCCAATAAAAGTCAAACCCCTCAAAAGTGGTTGAGGGGCTTGACCTACCCCAATCTTCAGCTTCTTTGTATTTTCTTGTGTGATAAACGTTCTGTTATGTTCCTCTACGTAAGCGTATCTTCCTCTACGTAATATTACTTATTCTTCTCTTTTTTTAGATTTTAAATGTCTAAATTAATGCCTTCTTTTTATTCCCTTCCTGAGATCTCCTTTTCTTTCTTTCCTTCCTGATATCTTGTAATCCATCTCCTTTATCCTTAACATCACCTTAATCCTCTGCCACTCTACTTTTGCATAAATGAAAAACCTAAGAAACCTAAGGGATAACGAAAAAGGACATGAGTTTTCATACAAAAATTTATTTTATCGAAAATTTACTTATTTTTCTAAAAAAAATATTTTAACATAAAGGATTGAAATTCCCTAAATATCAATTTTTATTTTAACAAAATATTCTTCTTCCTTTACATTATCTCTATTTATTTAACATCCCAAGCATGGTCCTTCCAACTATGTGCCGGCCAAACACCCGGACGATGATAATGAAAAAAGGGTGGATAATCCTTTAAAATTTTTGTGAAATTAAATATAAACATAAAATTCCCCCTACTTCAGGCGGACGCCAATTCAACGCCAAACGGTCGTTTGGACGACGAACTTCATAAAACTGGCGATAATAGGGAGGTCCTTAAGGAAAAAAATTTAAATAAAAAATTATTTAAATTCCACTTTTAAAGCCCAAAGTAGGCAAATCATCAGGCAATCCATCCCTATAAACTTTGAAGCCCAAAGCAACAATAGTGACAGGTATGCAGAAGACAGAAGAAAAAAATATTTCGGTATAATTGTACATCCAATGTCGAGGTTTTGCCTTAAACATTATGTTTTAAACATTATGTTCTTTTCAGGGATACTATTGTATTATTGTAATATTTATTATGTTTCCGGAAAAAAATGAATTAGTATAGGCTTGAAATGGATCACCGTAAAAATATAGACGGAAAATTGTGGAGGAAAAAATGGGGTCTGTAATCTTCACTATTACCAAAACTCCTAATGAAAAAACAAAAGCATCGTGGAGTACATATAAAATTTTTGAAAATTTAGATTCCCCCAGTAAACTAAAATATACATTAAATCAAAATTAAAAACATCCCCCCTCCAAAAATAATAAACTTACTTTAAGTGCCTTCCAAGCGCGTGCCCATCTACTCACGTAAGGCCTATACACTATCACCATAATTATCAAATAAAAAAAATTTAAGAATTAATTAAACGAAAAAATAAAAATTAAATAATAAAAAATGAAATAAACATTTAAAAAAAGAAAAATTATTTAAAAATTTATTTTTAAAAAAATTCAACAAAATTACATAAATTTTAAAAAACGATTGTAATCCTCCAAAGGAGTTTCAGCAACATTTTCTGAAAAATAACGGTCACTTGGATGTAATAATTTGTAAAGAGTAATAGAATTTGGGGTTTTTGGTATATAATTAGCTTTTTTTAGACGGTGAAGGTATTCGTGTCTATTACGTAAACCTTTTAAAGAAGAAAAAATTAATTTTTAATAAAAAAATAAAAAAATAATAATACCAGTTATTGGACATCTCAAAGCGCAGGGATATTGAACTAAAAAATAATTTTGTTATTTTAATTTAAAAAAGGCTAAATGTTCCCTTCAAAATAATTTAAATTTTCCTACACACCAGAGGTGGGTCGGAACAGTCAGAGGTGTCGGAACTCGGAAGAGCCGGAAATCGAAAATGGCTCAAAAGTCGGAACTCGGAAATCAAAATTTTTTTCGGAACTCGGAAGGAAAAAACGTCGGAAATATGAATTCCGACCCACCTCTGCTTCACATAAAGAATGTACGACATAACGTTTTGTCCTAATTTTTGGCTGTTTAAGTGTCTTAAGAATTTAAAAAAAATTAGCGTGTGTTTGGGCTCTAGGCGAAAATTTTTGGCGCACATCCCTGCCTCCCACTACTTTTTAATATAAATTTATTTAAAAACCCAAACCAATTTGTTCATTTTCTATTTTCATAACATAAGCCAAATAATTATAAGAAACAAGCATTCTATTTATATCACAAATAAATAAACGGGGATCTGCTACAAGCATTAAACGTAAATCTTTTTGAGAAAATCCACATTGAATATTTAATGAACGAACAATTCCCTTAAATTATAATAAAATAAATAAAAAAATAAAATAAACTAACAGAAATTCGGCCAATTCCAAATGCAATCTGAAAATTATATTTAAAATTTATTTTTAAAATAAAATTTAAATAATTGTAGTTAAAAAATATTTTTTTCTCGATAGCATCACCCTCTTTCTTAACAAACTGAATAAAATCAAGAAAAAATCGCTCATCTAAATATCATTACTAGAGTTCGGATTTTGTGGTCCGAAATCCGGGTATTTTGATAAAAACCGGATTTTGATCCGGAAAATCCGGTCCGGGTCGAGTCAAAAAAAACCCCGTATCCGGTCCTCAACAAAAAACCCGCAAAAATATAAACAAAATTTAAAAAAAATTTCCAAAAAAAAACTCACAATTTTGGGTTCTTTAACTACAACAAGCCTCAATTGTTTAGAAGGAAGTAGAAATTGTCTGTGTAACCAACCCAAACGGGCATCAAGCCTTTCAACTGAATCATTAAGCCAATATCTCGATTCTAATACAATTTTTCGTATTTGAGGAAATGTAAACCGGCGATAATTTAAGTAATTTAGATGAGCCTTCAAATAAATATATCTAAAATTGGACTTGATAAAATATAACCACCAAATATTTAAAATATATTTTATAAAGAGCACAGTCCAACTTACCAAAAGGTTGATGTACTGCCGAGGCACAGCAGATCAGTCTGTTACTTTAAGCGCACTGAAAGGCGAGTAACAGTCTTTGCCTATTTTGATCTGCTATGCCGAGATATACCTTACTTTCAAAATTATTGGATCCTGGACGCCCTGGATCGTCGATGTGCATCGACAGAGAAGTCCCTAATTTATTTTTTTTTGATAATTTTGAACAAAGTTATACCGCGGCAGTACAAATTGGAGTATACACTTTTAAAAAGTCGGTTGGTTCAATTTTAATTTTAATTAAAAATATTTTTAAATAAAACTTTTACATTTAAATGTTCCTGCTTTTGTAACAAAAAATAAGGATTGCGAGATAAATAATTAGCCAAATCATCAGGTGAAAACCCAATACTTTTATGTAACCAATAAATTTTTGGTTTGACATCACGTTCCCAATCTAGACGGACAAGTGCTTGGCCGAGACGAGGATCATATTGTGTGGACTGAAAATTAAAAAAATTTCAAAATAGTTTTATAATAAATATCAAGGGCGTAGTCAGGGGCTTCTGGGGCTAAAGCTCCAAAAATTTGAGGAAGAGATTGAGCAAAAAAGTGAAATTTTTCCTCCTATGACCGTTCAAATTAAAAAGAATTTTCGATTGCGGCGCTGAAAAAAAATAAAAATATGGTTTAAAAAATTTGCGTTAGCAATGCCAAAATTTTGGGCCACACTCAATTTTAGCCCCGCTGAAATCGACCCCCTACGCCCTTAATAAATATATTGTTTGTCGAGTGTTTATAGTAGTTCTCATAACTACTCGAAATAAATTTCCAAAAAAAACCTCAAATAAATCCACACCCATATCAACAAGCATTTGAATAGTTTGAGAAAAATTGGCATATTGAGCAATTGAATGAGAATGGGTTGGTGGCATTATCTCCTCTGTAGGTATAAAAGGGTGGGGATTTGAACTGAAAAAATTATTAAAGAAAAATTTCTTAAAAAAACTTTGAGGGAGGTTTTGTTAAATCACTATTTAATAATTCTCCTTGGTCATAAATTATTCGTCTGAAACGATTAATTTCTCTAGAAGTAGTTTCTTCGCCTGTCTCCATTTGTGAAATGTCCAACTGCGAAAGAATAAAATTTATTTTAAAAATGCTAGATAAATTTATAACAGAAATAGAAAGAATTTTTAAAATATATTAGACTATTCTACTACAAGCACGAGTAAAAGTAACACCTCCAAGGAAATACTATACAGAAAATGGTAAAATATTTCTAACAGTTCAGAGGGTTATTTACCACCTTTCAGGATAGGAGAAAAGGCCATACAAGTATATAAATACCAGGAATCGCGCCGACTCGATTCCTCGATACACTGATATCACTTAAATATCCCTCCTTTTATCACTCAACAACGATTCCCTTACTTCTAATTTCTCTTAAATTTAAACCCTCAAGTCTAATCTCTAATCCCACATCAAAAAAGCTTTTTTGGAAAATTTAAGAAATCGGGAATTTGGTTTTCTGTCGGCGCTATCCCTGATAAATACACTGATTTTTATTCGGTTTTCAAGTTCCTATTCCAATTTCCATGAAACAAAAATTTTATTTGAAATTATTAAGTTTGTGGGGATCTTTCTTTCCTTATCTTTCTTCAAATCTCTCCCTCCTCCACAAAAATAATTAAAATTTTCTTTGTAAAAAACCTCAATTCCGGGTTGTTTAACCAAATTAGGTGTTAACATCATAAATTCATATTCTTTTTGTTTTTGTCTGAGTTCATCATCCTCAATTCTTCCAAATTCATCCTCAACAGATTTAGGCATTTCAAGTTTTCCAAAAACTTTTTCATTTAAAAAATTTTCGTTTTCAATAAATTGTTGAAGTTCAAAACGGTCAGAATCTTAAAATAATAAAATTTTTTGTAAAAGATATTTCCCACAGACATCCCCACAAACTTAATAATTTCAAATAAAATTTAAACCTTTATCCACTAGATCAGAATCGAGATGTTTTTCATCCTTTAGACGAGCAACAGCGGAACTCGAAGCCTAAATTTTAAAAAATAAATTCGGCCCTATCCCAAAAGAAGGGCGGAATCTTTTTTTTATTACCTGCAAGGAAAGGAAAAATAGAGACGGACTTGGACAGACAAAACACGGCCGGAAATGTTTTAGAAATTGATAGCCGTCTGTGCCTTGTCTGAGTCCGTCCGTCTCTATTTTTCCTTTTCCATTTTCCCTTTCGTTGCAAGTAATGAAAAAACAATTCTACCCTTCTTTTGGGATAGGGTCATGAATTCTATCCAAGTAAATCTTTTCAAAAATTCTCTCAAATTAATTTTAAAAAACCTCTTACATAACGAAGTCCTGAAGCAATTTTAAATAATCTTGTAGACAATTTTAAAGACATCCTTCCCCTCAAAAAATAAATAAAATTTGAAAACAAAAAATTGAAATAACCGTCGATTACAAACGTTTAACAATTAAAAGAAAAATAAAAACAAAAAATAATTTTATTTTTTAATAAAACTGAAAAAAATTTAATTTTAACTCAAAAAATATTCTCTTTCTTAACTTCTCATCCCCAAAAAATCTTTCAATTATTTAGACGGCCCAAGCAATAATTGTTGTTGTTGCTTCAATTGAGATTTTTCCATGTCGCGAAGTTCTTTGTCAACTAAAAAAAATTTGAATTTAAATTTAAAATAAAAATTATTCAAACTAAAGTAAGGCAAAATCATGATAAAAGCAGAAGTAGACAACACCCAAGTAGCTTTACGTGCTAGCGAAAACTGAAAAGAAAATTTTTTTTAAATTTGAAAATATTCCTTAAATTAAGATTACGCAAGGCTGAGTGACTACATAAATTCTCTCTTTGAAAAGGTCAGTGGATTTCAACGAAAAATCAAGGTTTTATGTTTGATCTGGACTTTTCAAAACTTAGGGGATTTGTAAATGCGTTTTTTAAATAATTTATGTGGTTATAAAGTTCTCATAGGAATAAAAAATCAATTGTTGACATAAGGAAAAAGGGAAGCCATAAAGTCAACCAGGCCCGTAGCCAAGATTTTTTCGGGGGGGGGGGGGGGGGGGATTTTGCGCCAAATTTTAGGCGCCTAAAATTTTATTTATAGCAGACTACGGGCCGGAAGTCAACATTACCCAAGTCAACTAAATAAATCTGAAAAAACTCCCTTACAGAAGTGCCCAACAAAGTCCATCCCGCACCAACAGAATAATAAACAGCAGAGCGAAGTCCAGCAGGAAACATTTCTTTGAGCCCTTCAAGTCTCTCAAGTAAAGTTTCTTCTAATTGATCGTCATCAATTTCCTTTGAATTTAAAAAAAGTAAAAAATAAATTTATAAAATAACCTTAGCTAATTGCTCTTCATTTGAAGCAACTTGGAATTGATCAACTGAAGGTTGTGAAGAAGGAAATTCCATTTTTGAAAATAATTAATTTAAATTAACTAAATAAAAAATTAAAAAAAATTGGTTAAAAAAATAAATTTAGAAAGTTGTAAAGCTAAAAAAGAAGAAAAAAAAGGCTCCCCCATAACTTGCCAAATCAAAACTTGCCAATAAGGCTGAAAACCCATATCTTGCCAAATTCAAAAAATCCCAAACTTATCAGTATCTGCTCGATCTTGCATTCTTTTACTTATTAAAACTGACTTTATTTTCTGGGACTGATAAGCTCTTCCCAGTAGAGATGGGCGGAGGATCGGGATCCCGACGTAAAATCGGGATTTTGAAATAATGACCCCGATCCCGACTTCGGGATTGGCTGGACTCAGGATTTACCCCCGGAGGCTATGGAATTGAAAGTTAAAAAGATTGTATCTAAAAGGACATTAAAAATTCGGTTCAAACTTAAAAAGTTAGTGCTAGACTTGTAGGACATCAGGAAAAGAACTTGTTCAAAGAAATTTAAAGATATTAAAAATAAAGATAAAAACTTTAACAATCAAAAATATTTCAAAATTTAACGTATTTTTGAGATGCAAAAATTAAATAAAGTTAAAAAAAATAACAATAAAATTTCAAAAATTTAATTTTTTATTCATTCATTTCCACATCATTTCCCCCTTCTTTTCTTCCTTTATTTCCTTCATTTTTATTTTCTTCTTTAATTAATTTAGCAGATGTTCTACTATCAATAAATAAATCCAAACATTCATTTACATCCTCCTTTTCAACAATTTTTCTTCCCCCAATTATTCCTAATAATTTTGCGGGGGTTAATAATTGAATTGTGTAACGTAAAGAAGCATTCATTCCAAGTTCACATAAACGCTTTAATGCTAATTCGTCTAATTGAACACCTTCGGCATCTGCTCTGATTTGAATTATCTTAAAAGAGAAAACGAAGGTTTTTGAGCATTTTCTTTAATAGGGTAAGTAGAATTTCACGTCAATAGTGGGCAAGCGGACATATCGGGATATTTAAAAAATATATGGACAGTTTCCCTACCGATTTCGGGACCTATAGCTAGTGGAACCTGGAAAAACCCTTTCCTATTGAAGAAAATATGTTCAAGTTTTAGAACGAACATAAATACACAAGAGGCTATTTTCCTCACAACAATCCCGATATGTCCACACACCAGGGCTGGGCGAAATCAAAAAATTAAAAAGCGAAGAAGACCCAGCCCTGTCCTGTCAAACACTCAGCATCGCACAGAGTATGCGTGTCTTCCCCCATTCCCCCTACTTCAGGTCCTCTTAATGTAAAAAATAAATTTACCAAAGAAATTTCATCAATAGAATATAACTTTGTTGGAACAATTAACAACCGATCAATTAAATCAGAAGGAATTCCATAAAATCCAATTTCATCAGAATTCCTTAGAAAAATATTTAAATTGCTTCTATTAATTAAAAAAACCTAATTTTTGTTCTCCCCCGATTTGTAGCAAAAACAATTATTGGACTAATTTCAGATTCCAATGCTCTATGTAAAAATGTAAAACATTCCAAATCGAGCATATGAACTTCGTCGATAAATAAAACACCGGGAAGGAGTTCTGCTTGGCCCTTAAAAATTAAAAAAATTTTTGAATAATTTTTAAAAAATAACCGATTCAATTAATTGATTAACTACTTTGTTGACTTCATTTCTGAGTTTTTCTAAATTAAAAAGAATTTTACTTTTAAAAATTTAAATTGCAGTGCAAAATATCTTCGGTAATAAGGGAGGAGCTTTTAAAAGATAATAGTAGCAAGCCCGTAACCAGAGGGGGTAGAAGAGGGGTCCTGATTACTCACTGAATAGTAGTACCCGTTTAGTAAAAACAAGGGACTACTTGTAAGGGAAGGATAAAAATTAGTAGGAGGATAACCCCCCTCCCCTCCTCAAAAAAATGGAAAAAGAAAAAATTTGGGGAAGGGGATTGGGCAAAAAAAGTGAATTTTTTGGTCTTCGGCCTTCAAAAGATTAATTTTAATCATAATTAAATTTTAAGCGTTTGGGACGATCAGAAAAAGAATTGAATAAATTAATAAAAAAATTCAACCCTTAGGCTCGCAAAAAGTGAATTTTTCGAAATAAAAATTAAGCCGACATTTTATCCCAATTTTTTAAAAATAAAATAAATAAAAACCTGTAATTTCAGTCTTTTTCGGTTTCAAAATTTGTGACAACATAGTCATCATATCTCCAGCCTTTCCATGTGGGGCAGAATTTGCAGAATCAAAATCATGTAAATTAACATACTTAAAGTTGCTATTGAATTAAAAAAAATTTTTTCTTTATAAAAAACCTGAACAAGCTCTTTACTTTTGTGTACATCACCCTTTGGCATTGGAACAAATTCATCGGCATCCAAATCGAATTCGTTAGCAAAAATATCTGACCGTCCCAAACGCTTAAAATTTATTCTAGTTCAGCGGGATTGGGATCCCGGTCGGGATGGGTATCCCGGGTTTTTCGAATCCCGATCCGATTTTGGTCGATCACGATCACGTGTCGAATGGTATCACCATTCCAAAATCCCGATCCCGGTTTTTTCTCTAAATCCCGATACCGCTGAACTCTAATTTATTCACAAATTAATTTATTTAAAAATACTTTAACTGTTCCAGAACCAGCTTCAATATAAATAACATCACCAACTGAAACTTTTTGTTTCAAAAGAGAATCATAAATAGAAGGATCTAGTCGAAGTTCCCGAGATCCTTTTGTTGTCTAAATTTTAATAAATAAATTTATTTTTTAAACAAAAATTATTTAAAAACCTTTAAAGTGCACATAACGTGAGAAATTGTTTTTCCAAGCCCAGTCAAAGGAGAGTTTTCAATTTCTTTTGGTGATAATTCTACAACTTCCCCTTCAAATACTTCTTTTGTTTCTTTTACACGAAGACCTAAAAAGGAGTTTAAAGTGGAGAATTTAAAGAGATTTTAAAACCAAAAATTTTGATAGTTTCTTTACAAAAAGTAACCATTTTTATGAGATTTTAAATACCGGATTACGACAATTTTTGAAAATGAGTGATTTCTTAGGATTAATCTAGAAATGGGAGTAAATGTTAATAACTGGCTATGTCAATCCCTAGTTTATCGCCAAAATTTAAAAAATGAAAAATAACCGTATTGCCGGCCTGTAACCAGAATTATTTTCGGAGTGGAGGCAAGGGTTGATTTTTAGCGCCAAAGGCGAAAATTTTGAGAACCCCCTGGGTACAGGCCTGCAGTATTGCTAAATCATAAAAAAACAAACCAATAGCTTTTCGAATATTTTCAACCAAAACTTCAGTTTTCTTCACTTCACTAGAAAAAACCTCCGATCCCACCATCGGAACAAAAGGCACTTTATCGCCTAACTCCTGAGCCATAGCCATAGCAATTGCCGTCTTTCCAGTCCCCGGCGGACCAGCAAAAAGAACTGCCCGGCCAGCCATCTTTTTTTGTTTTACTAATTCAACAACAATTCCTGCCGCTTCTCTCGCTGCACATTGACCAACAAATCCACTTGCCTTTAAAAATAAAAATATTTTTTTAAATAAAAACTAATTAAAAACTAAACATTATTCAAAGCTTCTCCAGTCGTCGAATTCAATCCAAGTCCTTTAACATGGCTATGTGCTGCTATTCGAGCTTTTTTGTTGAATTTTTCCTTAGAAAATTTTGTTTGATTTTTAAATTATTTAAATATTTATTTCTAAAATATTTCAAAAGAGGGCTAGACCCCTAGCCTTGGAGGAAAGCCAAAAAATCAGATTGGGCCAAATATGAAACCAGCTTCAGAACTGCCCTTTTCTGCTTTCAATCAATAAAATTAACCTCAATTTTACGTCCACCAGTTGATGGGACTTGAATTAAAACATTGGATTGTGAAGAATCCACTTCCATTGGAAAGTTTTTAAATTTTGAATAAAAATTAAAAAATAAAAAAATTAAAAAAAAAAGTTAATAATAGAAGAGAGAGAAATTAGAGAAAAAGAGGAAAATAATTAAAAAACGTTTCGCCAAAGATAGACAATAAGTATATATTTGAATTGAAATTAACTTTTTTATCTTGATCCGATCCGCATGAATATTTATTATTTGAAAGCCCTTGATAAGTGGAACACTTAACTAGTGAGAATAAGTTTGCAAGCTTGTTAAAAAATTATAAACTTATTAAAGATTGCAATTATTTTACGGTTTTCACATTTGTCGGGTTAAATCTTTGGGTGTAATTAAATCAATCACAAAGAATTTTAAGCATTTAATGTGAAGGAAGACTTTTTAGGTGTAGAAATACCTCAGAATTACAACCAACCTCCTCCCTCTATCGAGGATGCTACCAACGCAAATTTCAACAAACCCGCCAACTTCGAACTTGAATCTCACGTAAAGTGCAAGTCAGATACATGACGGCATTTCACAACCACTACACAAAGGCAAGTGTGTGATTAAGAAATAAATTACTCAATAAAAAGGGCATTTATTAAGAAAAGTGCATTTACGAAATACAGACAGTCTTGCGATTGATGTTGTCGGCATTATTGGGTAAAAGGAAATAAATTCACGTGAAAATTCTAAAATGTACATAATTAGCTAATAATTAATATTTTATTTTCTTCTCTTTTATTTTTCTTTCCATTAAAAATTAAAATTTAAAAATTAAAATTAAATTAAAAAAATTAAAAATGGTCAACGGCAAATATGTAACTGGAAGACTAATAAATTTTAAGCTTTATTTTTCCTTTATTTACTGAAACTTTTGTAACATTAAAGTGAAGGTGACAAATAACCAAATAATTTTCCAAACTTGATAGACAATATAAAATTTATTGTTTGTCTCCAGTGCTGGGTATTTGCCATTTGTTGGCTCCGGCTCCGGCTCCGGGGTTTCAAAATCTTGGCTCCGGCTCCGGCTCCGGGCTCCGGGGTTTCAAAATCTTGGCTCCGGCTCCAGCTCCGGCTCCGGAGCCGGCGATTTTCGGAGCCGCTCCATGTTGGCTCCGGGCTCCGGGAGGAAAATCAATGAATTATTTTTCATTGGGGGATCTAGGTAGATAAAGGGGGATGTCGAGTGATATAAGAGGATTAAGAGGGTTATCAACGAATTAAGCGGGATTTGGGTGGATTATCTTGTGAATTAAGCGCGATATCGGGGAATTAAGCTGGATTAAGGGGGATCTGATTTATCATTCTATTATCACTCGTTTTTTTGCGCCGCAGGCGAAAATTTTGAGAATTTCGTAAGATCCTTAAGCCAAAAATCTTCCATTTTTGCGCCGCAGGCGAAAATTTTGAAAAATTTGACTCACAGGAGACTAAAATTAATCAATTTAAAAAATTTATCGTGCTTCATTTATTTAAAAAATGCCTTTTATAATTTATTTTCCAACGAAAAACAATTATTTAATTATTTTTTGTAATATTTTTCGAACCTATAACTGGATAAAACTCGGAACCTAACTCACTATCCATTCAACCACACCTACATTACAAAGGAAAGGAAAGAAAATCTTTTTTACCCGTCTCAATTTTCTCTTCCTTTTCTTTTCTCGCCTACCATCTTTGCTTACTTCTTTTTCTCTAACCCATCTTTAGGGGTGTATAGCCGGAGCCGTGGGGAATTGGAAAACCTTGGCTCCGGCTCCGGGCTCCGGGGTTTGAAATTCTTGGCTCCGGCTCCAGCTCCGGCTCCGGGGTTTTCAAAATTCTAGCTCCGGCTCCGGCTCCGCCGGAGCCGGCTCCGGAGCCGGGCTCCGGAGCTAGCTCCCGGAGCCATACCCAGCACTGTTTGTCTCCGAACCGTGGGAAGGGGGGGCTTTTTCGGGGAAACGGGTATGACCGAGGCAAAAAAAATCCAACAACTGCTGCCAGGCATTGAACTCGAGTTTCCTTCTAAGTGGAAGTTCCTAATTACTTTAAGTGACAATGGTTTTTTGTACATTAACCTTTTTATTCAGACATAGATTAAAAATAATGTATTTAAAATTTAAATTCTTTCCCCAAATATTCCTATTAATTCTTTTCCCCTATTCTTTTTGTAATATTCCTCCCCATCAAAATTTCATTGTTGTAACCAATTCTGATAATGTAAAAAACTTGGGTCTAAATATTAAATTGAAAGAATGGGAATTTACTGAGACAAAAGTAAAAGTTAGTATTGAGACTACTGCTGGAGTGTCTTTTAAGAATTTATATTATTTGTCTGGAGACAAAAACTGCAATTCCCAAGAGAGTATCGAATATACTAATTTTGATGGAAATTCTTTGACAATTGAAAATAGCAACAAAAATGAATATAAAAATGGAGTCAATATATGCTTATCACAAAAATTGGATAATAAATTGCAGCATAAGACTGTTAGTGATTGTTTATTAACTGATACTTAGGGCCCTAGGAGACAACAAAAACCCCTAGCTGTTGGTTTTTGTTGTCTTCGGTATCTGGACCTACAGAGATTTTATTCTAGATTTTTAGTCAGATATCAGGGGGTAGTGTGGATAAAATCAAACAGGCTTCTCAGAGTTCAAGTAGTGATTGTTGAATATTTTTAGTCTTGTTCTGTATCGACTTGCGATGTGTCCGGTACTAACAGAAAGACTAACTAACTAGGCTTATCACGAAGGTAACAATAGAATAAGCGAGACTATGTGCTGGAGTAGAATATATCTTTGATTACACGACTAAAACTGACCAACTGGCCACCGACTAACTCACCCATATACTAAACACGCCACTCTAACAGTCACAAAACATTTTCTTATCTAAACGGGGATTAATTTGCCTGTTTATTTTTTAAACATTTTTCAGTTATTGATGACTATTTATCCAATTTTCTTCTCTGAAATAATTTTTGAATATAAAATACCCAAAAATGTTCAAAAAGAACAAATAAAAATGAATGAAGACCAAGCAGCCTTACTCGATTATACTTGCAAATTAAAACAAATAGAATTTTTAAAAATTTCTTTAAATTTGGAAAAGGAAATAACTCCAAAAAGACAAAATACGAGAAAAAGAAACTTTGAAAATTTTCAAAATTTTGAAGAAAAAAATAAAATAAAAATTGAAATAAAATTTAAAGAAATTGGGAAATATTTTATTTATTTAAATTCAGCTAATTTTTACGTGGGAGATAGAAAAGAAATTTTTATTTCAGAATTTATTTTTAATGTTAACAACCCAAATGAGATAAAAACATTGACTAAAAGTTTGGAAGAATTAAATATAAATGAAGCTAAAATTTTGGAATTAAGAAAGGGAATATATTTTAATGTCTCTAAAGGAGGAGAAGGCGAGAAGAAGATGAAAAATGATAATTCTGAATTTAAATATAAAGGACATACTATAGCTTTTGGATATATTAAATCTGTTTTTGAAGAAAACAAAAAATATAATAATGACCCTAAAGGGAAAAAACCTGTTTAAAGGAAAAGTAAATTGTTTATTGAATATACCATATTTATTCTAATGGCCGCCATATTTTTCAATGCCCCAAAAATTGTCATTCTATTGGAGAGGCTATTCAAATGAGGCGGCCATTCTATTTTTCATTCATCCAAAAAGTGTCGTTCAATTGGAGAGGCCATTTAATTAGAATAAATACGGTATTTTAAATGAAAAGATGCAGAAAAAATCAAAATACAAAAAAAAGAATTAAAGAAAACAAAAAAATAAAAGAATATCCTTTGAAGAAATTGTGTAAAAATTTACCTCTATTTATTGGATTTTTAGACTTTTTGTACAGACTGTTTCCAGAAAGGGCAATGCGATACTTCCCGTTCGAATTTCTTGCGATTCCGGATTCTTTTTCCTTAAACAGTAACCGCTATTTGGAAGGTTCCAAAAATTGATAACTATTTCTAGTCTGATGCTTTGATGATTCTAACAAAATTTTGTCAAGATTTAAACAATCCATTAAAAAACTATTAACGAGAAATCATTAATTGATTATTTTAACAATTGATTAATTTCTGTTTCAAGTTAAAAATTTCAATTTACATATAAAGTAGAACTAATATTTTAAAATTTATTTTATTTAAACATCCGATAAAATGCTTTTTGTGATTTTTGTATGAATAATAATTTGTGTAGTATTTGAGAATTTAAGACAATTTTATTTTATTGTAAGAATGATTCGTCTAGAAGCATCTAGACACAGACGCGTGTTTACGATCCATAGGAGAAGGGAACTGGGGCTTCTGTTTTTTTAAATTTTTATCCCTTTATATCCAGTCCCTACCAGGGGTGAGCGCAGGAGGCAATCGTGAAAAACGCAAAACGTAAGGACAAAAATCAACGCAAAAAAGCGCAAAATCGGGAAATTTTTTTAAAATTATTACCCATTTTTCAGTTAAAAATTGAAGTATTACCATAAATCAGCGAATCCTCAGAGGATTTAGAGGAATAAAGGGGGTTTAATGAAAATCCGTAATCTTTTTTAATTCAAATCCAATGATTGATGTTGAGTTAAAGTCTACAATGTTTCCTTAAATTTAATAGTTAAGTATCTGGGTAAATTATACAAACCTGTTAACAATTTTACATTCATCGATTGGAAAAAGCATCTTCGAATCCTCCAAATCTTATATTCACAATGGCAAATCATTTGTTGCTATGAATGCTCGAATTTGATTTATTTCCAAACCATCTGTGTCGAATGCTTAGATACTTGCATTTCATAACATCAACCTTAGAAGTTTAAATACCATTCGGGTGAAGATAACCAGGTAACGAAGATAAGATCCTAGAAAAAAAAGTAAATGTTTTACGATAGTTTTGAGGATTTTAGCAAGTGCTTTTCAGATATTTTTTAGGTTTGGCTAATTGTCGCATTCGTACTCCGCATTTTTTCCTGACTATTTTTTCATTTTTCCTGCTCTTCCCCCTTATTTTTCATGAGGCAAAGTATTAAAAAGGATTATGTATGTGTAATATTTACTTTTTTCA